GTGGGTTACCACATTCATAATCGTCAAAATACTTATATGAAAATAGGGAGAACTATTTTGTCGTCAAATTTAATTTTTACTGATTTCCACAAGGAAGCATTAAAGATACTCGTAATTGATGTGGTATTACTGGATTCATTCTCTATGTGTTGTAAAATAACTGGCACAACATTATCAGTGGCTAAAAATTGATGTAACACTTTCTCTATTGATACAACTTGTGCTGTACACCATCGATAATCTATGGAGACGGAACCATTTTTTCTTTTATCTTCTAATATTCTCCCTATCTCCACTTCATATGCTTTAATAAACTTAGCGCTGTTTTCAAAATATTTAAACCTTTTATGTTCTGTTAAAATATCATCAAATGGATTTTTCAGTATTAGTCTAAGTTCAGTCAAAAGTTTTTGAGGTATTTGATCGGAAAGAGAATTTAAGGATGCAAGGATTTGAGAATAGGTATAAGTCATTAAAAAAGTCACTAGTGTTTTCGACCACCTCTTGTATACATTTTCTTGTTATAGTACTGTTTTTATAAAGCTTTATCAAAAATGAGAGAAGAGAATCAAAACTATCATTCAAATTCAAGTCAGAATTTTGGCTGGTTGGATGAATATCTGTCATGTTACTTGGACAATTTGCATTGCTCTCAGGTTGCTTTATGATCTGAGTATATGAAGTATAAAATGTACTTACACAATGATCAGTTAAATGGTCATGTTTGGCGTAAATATGTCTCTTTAGTGAATAAATTGTGCGAAATCTTTGCAAACAAGTCCTATTACTACAAACATATGAATCTGAGTATTTATGCATAGATTTTGTATGGTAAAAAAACGAATCCTTATTGTCAAATGTACATGGAGTAGTGCAAATTTTACAAAGAAGCATTTTTACATCTAAAACGTCGCAAATACATAGTCGAAACCTTACTACAAACAAACCACCTGGGCAGAAAAAACAAAAGTAATATATACCTAAAATTAGTTAACTTTGACTTGAATATATAGGTACTTATAATAATGAACAGATTAGGTGCTACTAAGACGGTTAACCTTATTCACAATGTCGACAATATTTGGAATTTTGTTATCCCATTTTGTATAGCACTTTGAATAAATGCCCAGATATGCTCCGACTGAAACTGATATTTTAGGTGAAATACATGATATGTTTTAAAAACAATGTCTATGCCTTTCAATACTGTTGCTGCTGAATATAGCTCACCAAAAATATAAACATAGATTTGCTGGATGCTGGCACCAGATCCCACCACAATTATAAAAGGTTGTACCGGAACCTCCACAGATTGCAACTTCTCAATTTTCGTGGCAACTGCTGTCTCCACATCTCCTGCCAGCTAAAAAACAGTATAGTAATAAAGTGCAATTGCTATTTAGCAGCTTAAAAACACAATACCACATTATTGAATTGAAATTATGGAGAATATAATAGGTAAACCCACCTCTACTTTTAAAACAATTCCCTCCTTACAGTCTGCTATTTTTGGTTTCCACTGCTTACTACCAAATACATGCCTGGATTTATATGGAAGCAGCGAACACATCAAGGATAGCATGACATAATGTTTATAATCTGCAACAGTACAATAGATAGGTAAATAACTATGTAATAGGAAATATTAAGTTAGGTATGATGTTCGAAAACAGAAAAAAAATTGATTAATCTAAAAATCTATAGATACTGTATAATAAATCAAGCGATTAAGTAGATACAGAAACTTTAGTGGATTTTGTATAAAAGTTAGGTAAACATAATAATATCAATTTACTGAAAGTAGTGGCTATTTAAGTAGAAGGTAAAAGTGATATACAATACCTTTGCTAAGATTTTGCGACTCCAAAAGGTCTATTAATATTTTGTCGCTATCGATAGTCACATAATTTCTTCGTAGTTTAATCAAGTTAACTATCATTGAATCCCAAATAGAAAATAGATCCTGTGCGTTAGGATATAGCTTCTCAAAGTCTCTTTCGATCTAAAATGAAAACATTTAAATGTGAAAATGACATTTTTGTTAGTGCTTATTTGTGAAGAAAGATTTAAAAAAAATATCAACCGTTCATTTTCGATGGCAATTGTGACATGTATAGTCACACTAAAATTACCCGAGGAATCCAAATATGCAATAATATACCGGGGGGTTCCATTAAAAAAATTTAACACCACGTCCAACCGGCGAACTTTAAAAATGTACATGAATAAGCCGACAAGGATCCGTCCACACACTGTTGGCCCACCCTGTATAGTATAGGTATATACATACCAGTGAAAAACAGAGCGATGATAACTTTTAGACAGGATATAGAGTAAAATATTCTTTCCCTTCTCTTTCTTCTTTTAGAGTTTGTTGTCGCCGATAATTGAATGTGGCATCCCAGTGTTTGTACACTTGCTCTAATGGTTCCCGATTATGTTCTAACCAAAGCAGACTGTTCTTAACCAAATCATCTGAAACATTTGGAACTCTTTGAAAGCACTATGAGAGCCTACAAAAATTTTACCTGAATCTACGTCTGTAGGGGCTTGATTTTCTTTGTCTGTAATGCCACCTCTTGATGGTAATATTCCTGCTTCTCGAAGGAAAGTTAGCCTATTTCGAAACTTATCCACCAGTTTTCCTCGTGCAACTCCCGGTTTTTTGTCCCGTGAATCCCTCTTTCTTATTGGTGGAAGGTAGTAGGCTTCCTTCGTTTCACATGGAAAAAGTTCCACTATTTTATTGCCAAGGATGTCGAATTCTTCATTCTTTAATTGGCTAGAAACAGTTTGTATAAATATTAAGACACACAAAATTAAAGTAAAATCAAATGTAATCAATTTGTGGGTACTAATGGTACATTCTCAAGTTACAGAAAAGTTACAGACAAAAAAATACTCTGACCAGGTAACTAACCGGTTCGCTTGATTCAATATCAAGTGTTAAGATTATTTACTTATGTAGAGTGCTTCAAAATTTCAGTTGTAATTATATCCACTAAATAGCTTTGTCTGGTACTGTCAAATCCCCCTTTAATTTGGTACCATTGAAGTAGTGCCTTTCCGATCGCAGATTCTTCCAAAAGCAGTTTTAATTCTAGAGATTCTATATATGTTTTTAGGGTTTTTGGTTTATTTATTTCAAGAAGTGGTGTGGACGTATATGATGTGGATGGACCAAATCCAGAACTCGATGATGGAGATAATACCAAGATATTTTCGCTACAGTCTAAGTCTAATACTTCGCTATTTCTAAAAAAATACAAATATACCTACGTACTTACTGTTCATATTGATCAAGATCTTATTTCATATTGCTAAAGAACGATTCACGATTTGCACAATACCTACTCGATTATAGGAGTGATCTGGATGTTCTCATTAATTGGAGAAATTGCAAGTGCGGGTGCGGATTCATCAAAACATGTTTTCTCTGACTTCAAATAGGTTTCAATTTTTTTTTAATAAATACCCGTTTTCCCAGAGACGGAACAATTTCTTTAAGATTATCTACGGAAAGATGCGGTAATAGTTCCGCAGCTATTCCATGTTCTGAAAGCAACAGAAACTTCCTTGTATAGTTGTAGTTCGTACACAAATTTTTCCTAAAAATATGACACACTAACAAGCAGTCAGATTATATGACCCTCCGCCGCCTGCAATTTTCAACTCTGCGAAGAAATTTGTAAATTCTCCAATACCGATGATTTGTAATGTTTCATCCAGGTCCATTTCTGTATCTCTATCTGCCATTGTTATAATTAGGTGCTTCACACTACCTGATAATAAATTGCACAACATTAAATTAAGGTAAAAGGGAACGATTTCGCACTTACCATTACACGGTTTTCAGTGGTTTTAATACTCGTAGGTGTTAGTAACACAGCAATTACACACACAACAACACCGTATAGGAATTTTGAATTGAAGGTGCACGAACTATAACAAAAAGACGGCACACAGAACAGCACAGTCGACAGTCCAACTGTTATACAATTATATGCGCTCCCAAGCGAAGTGAGATAAGTTAGCGCCGTGTCATCACAAAGCTTAATGATATCGAACAAAGTTAAATATTAAGATATTGTTTTTCTGGTAGTTAATTACCATCACTATTAATAAGATTTGTTAAACACTTACAAATGAATATTTAGTTTAATAATAACAATTGGATTTCTTAGTTTCTAAAAGAGCACGTTTCTGAAAAATACGGAAGGTTTATGATAAATAAATTTCAGCCAAATAAATCCCTTTCTTAACGAGGCTTTCTTAGAATTGATAATAGTTTATTAAAATTATGTTGGGAAAGCCCAGCAACTGCACAGAGAGAAAAATCTCATTTATTATTACCAAATATAGGGTATCGGGATATTTCTTTATAAACACCTTAGTGATATTTTACTTAAATTATCGATTCTATTAGATATACTTCTTACTTTATAAGAAGAAATCGTCATATTTTAATGAATTATCTGTTAGACTACTGTAAGGTATTTATTATTTGGTAACAAACACGCCAAGAAAGTCGTTTAATAATTTCACGTTATATTACTGAACCATGAGATGGATATTAACTGAATGTAGTAACAATGTAATGTAACAAATAGTATACCAATTCTTATTAATGAAAGTACGAAAGATACATCATATGCTATAAGGTTACAAACAACCAACTTGGATTGCTGATTAATATTTAACCTTATGGAAATAGTTAATATAGTAACCGTATACGTATCTGTTACAATTATTACATAAAAATTGCGTGACTTTATAATAAAGACATCTCAACTTTGGTATAAAACCGTATTTGTTTCGTAATAGATTATCACAATGGATATAATAATAAAATGTCTTACTCATCAAACATAAGATGTTATTTATTAGCTCAAATAATTTTGCTGTATCCCATCTAGATTTGGAAGGAAATACGTTTCCCTTAAAAAATATTACACTGTGTGCCATGGAAATTTACAATGGATAAAAATAAATGCAAGAAATGTATCTATTTAAACACTGTGCCTATATAGTGAACAAAGCACTGGTTACAAAAAAGTATCCGGTTTTCTCAGCAGTATGTGTTATAAAGTCATTTCGTTATTTAAAAATTGAATGGAGTAATACCCAGTGAAGTAGATATCATTCATTGTGCTGACTTGCTGACGCCGGATTAGTTATTTTTAAGAGACGAATTTAATTTTCAACAACATTCATTATTCGTGCGGCTTTGCGTAAGTTTGTTGCTTGGTATTCTTACAACGAAACATGGGCGATAGTTATTGTAGGGACGTTTTAACGGTTTGGGGATATCCTCAATACATAGAAAAATTTGAGGGTAAGTGCAATTTTCAGTAATTTAATACCTAGTAATAATAAATTTTGTTTCAAAACTTAGAAATATATATTGTAACAATTAATGTAAAACATTGACTAATATGCTCATTTTTTTTAGAAAACGACATAGATAAGGAAGTTCTTTTAAACATTTCTGACACCGACTTGGCTACAATTGTGCCCAAAATAGGTCATAGAGTAATCCTTCGTAAACGAATCGAAGAAGAAAAAATTAAGTTAAGTGCTACAATAGCGAGTGATAGTCATCAGGTGCGTTTTTGAAATATCTATTTGTCTACTACCTAATAACACTAGCTATTTGTTACAGAGTTACAACTTATTGGATTCATTTCACAGGTAAATTCTTACATGGAAGTTTGTTTTTTGCTTTCATTTTGTGGATTTTAGAGAAAATGATTCCATATCGAGTCGTGCATCATCAACGTTGATATCTGAACACAGGTCAGAATTTAAATTTTTTTGCAAATTAGTAGAACATACTTTTTTTCCAGTGATCAAATAGTACATATCAATGAACCATTTCAACTGTCACCGGATAATCATCTTTTGTTAGTAGTTTCTATGGAAGTATAGCCTTATCTGTTAAACCATATCTATTATTTTAGGAACATTACACTGGTGAATGAAGCCGGACCGTCAACTTCTCAAGATCACGGCGGAATAGACGTAACGAATGACGAATGTGGCGTAATAAACGTTTTTCAATCAATTGAAAAGTAGGTATATGTTTGTCATTCAATTTGTATATGCTGAGTGTAAAATTATTTTAGCTTAGGCGAACAATCAAAGCCCAAAAGGGCGCGAATTTCAAGCTTTGCTACTGATTTTAATCTTGAAGAAGTTCTTCGAAAATCAAGGACCGGGCAAGCTATTATTAACATTTACAAACTGAACCAAATTCTTGACAGCGCAAGTCAGTCATATTTAGTGGACATAATCGTCTCCCATTGTTTGAACAATGAATGTTGGTAAGAATTTTGTTTCCTAGACTATTTACCACTAATGGTATGCAAATAACTTTTTTAGGAGATTAACAAATGATGACTTCAAAACTATAGCATCAAAAGTGAATATTTTGTTCCCTAACGAAAATACTGATGTGTACTATTGCCCACCAGTGCATAAAAGATTTTCAAGAGAAAATCGATCAGAAGCATCAAAGGGAAAATTAGTAGATAAATATAAAAATAAAATTACGTATCTAAGAAAAGCAGGAGTGGTACCATTACTGAGATATTCAGCGTCTGATGTTCAATCGGAAGTAGGCTCTGTGATTGCCTCAGGTAGATATAGTGCACAGACGAAATAAGTAATCAAACGAGTTGTTTTTTAGATTTAACACAAAGTAATGAGTATATTTGGTTGAAAAATAATATTGAGCCGTGGCAAGAAGTGCAAACGGTTTGGAATAAGACATATCTTCTCAGAACCAAGTCATTTTCTGACGAAAAAAGTATAACCCACATTTTTGAAGACTGGCCTATCTTAAAAAATCCATTGGGATACACATTGGTTTGTACTGTTTTCTTTTTTGCTTAAAAATGTATCCACTTGTTCTGTTTTAGATCGAAGAGGATTTCTCAAAAGTATATCCCAATAACAATAACAATCTTTTTCTTGATTTTGAAAGTATTTTTAAGAAGGTTTTAAACTTAAGGCGAAAACATTTGTCTTTGAGGGACAAACCATGGGTTGATGTGTTTAATGCAACTGCAAATGAGGACTATAAAACGTATACCGCTTGTATATTGTTGTCATCCTTGATTCCCTGCACCAAAAAAATTGTATCAGGCAAAAAACAATGGAAACCAAATAGTGATGATGCTATTAACGGAATCATCGTTAAAGTGGAGGTAACTGTTACTCCGGTAATTGATCGGGTGGATTGCTAATAGTTTGGTTTCTTATTACAGAGTATTGCTGATATTAATGGAGTAATTGCAAGCAAACAACAGGCGAATCAAAAAAATAATTTGCCGGTTCTTCCCTACATCGTAGTAGAAATCCACGAAACAACCGTGAAGCAAGTGGTGGTGGTAGTTAACGACAATCTGTACATTGTACCGTCCGTACAAAAAGGTTTAGATGCATGTTTTAAATTTTTTATAGTATTGAATTTTAAATACCCCCCTGAATCGGAGCACTTGTGGTACTTTATACAACGTGCGATTTATAAAATAGAAACAAAATACGATCACAAGATACCTTCTATTATAAGCATTGTTAATCAGTTAAATGCCGCAAAGTCCTAACTGCTTATTTACAAAAAATTAATAAATTATGGAGAACTTAGACTGTTTGATATGCAAAAAATCAATTAATTTCCACGAATATACAAACCATTTAAAGTTTTACCATAAGTATCATGAAAATTTTAAATGTGCTATATGTTTTCATTTTTACACTAATATCTATGCTCTCGAAAAGCATTTAAAAAGGGTTCATCCAAATTTACCCGTTAGAACAGAAACAGGACCTCCTGTACCTCTTCAAGACAATGTAATCACTCCACCAAATAATGTTCTTAATCAGCACGTTGAAGTAGAATTACTTATACCCTCATTGCCGTCTTTAGACCAACAACATAAGCTCGTTCATACATTTATATTAAGTTTATACAATAGCAATATTACTCGAAAATTAATTCAAGAAATAATTGAGTACTGTTCCGGTATGTTTTCCGATTTTATTGATGAAATAGTAAATATCTTAAAAAATATTTTGGCCCCTCTTAACATCACTTGCGAGCTAAATCAAATTGTTAGTTTACTGCAGAACAAGAATCCATTTCAAAATTTGACCACCGAATATAAAAGGTTGCAGTTTTTTGAACAAATGCAATATCTTGTAAAATCGAAAAGTTTTTTAATTGGATTTCGGCTGGATAGATCACGAAACATTTCATTTGAGTACAAGAAGTGCGAAGGAGAAATAGTACCTCTTCGACACGTTTTGAAGTTATTTTTACAATTACCGAATGTGTTTGAAAACATTAATAAATTTATAAAAACGGAAGAATCGATGGCAAACGAAAATTATTACAGTTCAGTTTTTAATGGAAGTTTGTGGGCAAAATTAAAGGAAACAAATAGACAGAAACTTGTGTTCCCTATTCTACTATTTTTTGATGACTATGAATCTTGCAACCCATTAGGCACTCATGCCGGTGTATATAAAGTGGGTGCAGTATACGTATCCATTGCAGGAATTCCTCCTAAGTTTTCATCACTTTTGGAAAATATATTTTTATTTGGACTATTTCATTCTAATGATAGAACGATATATGGAAATCAAGTAATATTCAAACATTTTATTCAAGAATTGTCTTTTTTAGAGAATGAAGGAATTAATATCGCCATAAATAATCAGCATTTCCAAATTTATTTTTCGCTTATCTTGATTTTAGGAGATAACTTGGGTATTAATTCAATAACAGGTTTCTCTGAAAGCTTTTCTTCTTCATATTTCTGTCGAAACTGTTGTATGTCAAAGGAAGAAGCTAAAGATGCTCTTATCGAGGTACATGAGCAACGAAGGAACTTAGAAAATTATAGAGAACATTCCCAAAATAAATCTTACGGAGTTAAAGAAGCTTGTTGTTGGAATGTATTACCTAGTTATCATTGCACGATCAACGTCAGTTTTGACATAATGCATGACATATTTGAAGGCGTTTGCAGATATGAAATAGGCTTTTTACTATTTTACTTCATAAAAACAAAATCATTTTTTACATTAGAGCAATTAAATGACAGAATCAAATACTTTGAATACGAAGATAAAATAGATTGTGGAAATCGCTTTCCGTTAATAAAAAAAAATCATATTGAAAACAAAAATTTAATCTTAAGTGCAAGTGAAATGTTTGCGTTCTTAACATATTTTCCGTGTATGATAGGCGATTTAATTGATGTAGAAGACGAAGGATGGCATTTATTTAAACTTTTATACGATATTGTTTACATTATCACAAAGAGGGTCACAAATGACAATGAAATTAATTATTTAAAATATATAATAAAAGAACATCACGAAGTATATTTAAATTTGACACAGCAAAAGTTAAAACCAAAACACACAGCATAAAAGCTGTAGGTCCTTTACGATTTCTTTCATCAATCCGATATGAAGCATTTCACAAAATTGGCAAAGATAACGCGCATATAGTCACGTCAAGACGAAATTTAATGAAAACGCTTAGTCTCAGACATCAATTAAAATTATGTTACAGACTTATGCTCAACAAAGGATTCGAAGACAAATTAGTTTTAGGTCCAGAAAATAAAGAAAATGTTAACTATATAACCATCCAAAAATGTTTTAATGGTCAAACAATATCTGCAAGTCCGGTATATGTTGATTTTAACGGTAGACGCTATAAGATAAATAGTTCTCTTCAACTCTCTTCATCTGATATATTTCCAACATTTGTGCTAATTAGGCATATTATATGCGACACTAACAAAAATATTAAATTTGTGTGTTCGCCTTTAGATTTGTACGGGTTTTCGCAACATTTTCAAGCTTATTCAATAAAGCTAAGTTCTTCCATAAATGAATTAGTAATTTTAAATTTAAGTGAAATAACAGATGAAGTAACGCTCGCTTTGCATCGAAATGGAAGTGAGACGTTCATTGCTAAAAAAAATTAAAAATAATGCTACACTTTTTGTTGCACTCATTGTTTGTTGCGCATATTGGCATTTTGATATTTTTGGTTTGTGCTTTGTATAGAATTTATTTATTTTTTATTATAACTTGTATTATTATTTATTAATCTATTTTTATTTTTATATTAGTTAAGGACAATCGTTTTTTACGTTATTTTGTTTTATAATGTTTTAAATAAAGATTATAAACTGAAAATATAAATAACATCTAATTATTACCACAACAAGATTTTTCCTACCCATATTGTGTACATTATTAGTTAAATAATAAGGCCTATTAAAGAAGTGACCATGGAATAATTATATCACTATGTTGTATTGCTCTTCAAGATGCCTTCATGTATGATATAACGTCATACACTAATGACCAACCTTATTAACTTACTCATATAAATCAATTAGATATACACTAATACAACTGTTTACGGACTACTTAAATATGTGCTATCTATTTCATAGCCATGTTTTGCTAACACCGCAAAGTGTTTACCTCACCAAACATTAATACCTAAGCTTAATTCATATCTCCTATAACGAATTTGTTTGTTATTACCTCATCAAATTATGTACACAAACAATACATATTATACACTAATATAAAATCGATTGCTGCAGATCACAACAATTCGTACTCATCAAACCACCATATTTTCTGAAAATATTTATGTGCTAGTACCAACCGTATTAAATATTAACCTTTAAGGTAGATTTTTGCATATTACAACATGGTATATTAACTATAACCTTATCAAATTATACATGTAAAGTAATATTCAATACCTTACGTTGTATTTAATATAAAATCAAATGAGTTTGGCAGAATACAAAGTTGCGTTGATGTATCTATTACCCTATTGGCGTTATTATCACTAATTTTTTCTCTCAGTGTGCCCAATTACTTAATTCTTCATTCAGAGAAAAATTTTGCTTAGGTGAAGGCAAGGGTGAAGGTTTGAATAAAAGATCAGAATTTGAAACAGAGGATGGTTCAATTTGGTAAGGAAGAAAATTGGTACTGTGCATATCGGCTGTGAATTCATTATGTACCTATTATGGGAGTGACAGAATGATTTTTTTTTATTTTTGGCTGTGTATCTTTAGTACAAGTTTCAGAGGCAACCCTTTCGCTAACAATTTTTTCCCTAACAATTTGACGAATATATATTTTGCTCGTATGTGAGAAAGGCTTTCGATGTTTACGCTAAAACAAAATTTGTTTCAAAACAGATCCACAGGTATATGCTTACATTTTTAACCACTCCGGCTTTAAGGATAAAATCCAACAAGCAACTATGTGATAAATAACAATCAGATATCATAATAGTAGTCTTAGTAGACTAGGAAGTGTGTAACTCCTTTTAGGTATAATTAGAATAATTAAATTTTGATTCAGACCCAAAGTACAAAATTTGAATTTTCTTGTGCATTTGCACCTGCAGGTTAATATAATATTTGTCACTCTTGCAAGTCAAAAAATGGTTTTTCATCCCGTGAAATTTACCAAAATGGTATTACAAGCATTTCTCACTAAGATGAGATGGGAATCTACAGTAGGTAACACATAAATTCCAAGAGAGAAAAGGATACAAGTTGTAATGGGTTGGAGTTTTTTAAAACCAAATTTACACATTCTTTACGTCCTAGAAAGAATTTTTTAATTACAATGTAACTTAGATATAAAGTGCAAAAGACAGATTCTATTTTTAAAGTGCTTTTGTTTCATTTTTATATGAATGCAATTAATACGGTGCGAGGGGAATTTTTATGCGGAGTAAAAAGTGCAGGGAGTCGGCGTTCAACCATCGAGTAGTAAAGGTGGTGATTAGTGTCTGGAAAATTGAAGTACGCGGTATACGTAGTTAGCGTACTACGATTTCAATACGCAACACAAAATTAAAAGTGGTAGTGTGACGTCGCCGAACGTTTTAAAATTGATATAGCGTAAATAAAGTTATCGAGATATTTTACGCCCACATCGTTATCTGAGTGGAATTTGGGGTCTGCGTGCCAACGTAGTTTGTTTCCCAGCCTGGAAGAGGAGCCTATGCAGCGTTAGTTTTTCCCGCCGGCGTATCGTTTTCCGCCAGCGAGTATTTTTGGGTATTTCCACCTTGAGAAGATTAGATTTGGGAAATTTGGCAGTCCACCACCACCAGTTTGATTTCCTGTAACGACAAAAGCGAACGCCTGGAATGCGAGGTCACCAACCTGTTCCCAGCGGATGTAAGGCGATTAGATAAGAAGCAACGCCATTACCGAGACGAATTAAGGTAGAATTTGCAGTTTTATATTTGATAAACTTGATTAAATCGTGAAGTTTGCGTATTTTGGATCGATCTGAACAATTTTATATTTGACTTTTGGGGTTTTATGTATTTTAGGGGATTGTACCTATAACAGTTAAATTTGATTAAGGTACTAGTTAAAGGAAATGTCCGTTATTTTTGATTATTAAGCTTTACCGTTCTTTTAAGGGCGGAGATATTTATATGTTTTGAATCCATTGACTTTCAAATAAAGGTATTAAAGATAATTAATGTTAATTCTCTGTAATTTCTCAAGGAGGTCAAGAAGTTTGCGTTTAAAGGAAACCCAAATTGTTGCATTTACATACCAATCT